CATAACACTACCCAGGTGGCTGACAACTTTGTTTTACTGTCTTAAAGGCCGAATTCTCGTCCGCTGTAATAAAACCTGTGTTATTTTCCGGTATATCTGGATTGTTTTGTAGTTAATGTCACTGCAGGTATAACTCGTTCATTTAGTGGCGATTTTTTATAAATCAATTGTACAATGATACTCATCACAAAGAAAGAGAGATATAATTTGACTTTGTTTTTAATTTATTTTATAGTTAATGATTACTTAACATGTCATGTGGAACATGGTGTAATGGTTGCAGCTCCTTACAAACGGTGTGTAAAACAAAACACTTAGCGATTGAAAAGAGTGGTGGAGAGTTTATTTCCAGTTCTTCTCTTCCGTTGCCCTTGATTTGAGAACTGGCAGTAAATGTAAAATTAGAAGCATTTAATTTATATTTCATGTTTGACACATTGTGTTACCTATATGAATAAATGATTTTGACTTTTTGACATTTATAAGTGTACCACCCTTATGTTAATAATTTTAATAGTAAAAATGTATTTACTTGTGAATACATTTTTACTTATTTTTAATGTGTTCATTTTACTTGTGAATTATTTTTATAAGCTTTTTGTAAGAAAGAAAAATTGGGGCATATGAGTGACGTGGCAAATGGAAATCTGGGACTACTCTTTTGGGATATATTTGGCAATGAATAAATCAAATACAACCTTGAAGGGTTTATTAAATAACATTTTTAACTTCGTTTTCGTTGACTGTTAATAAATGTATTCGTAAAACTTTTTTTAATAGATATTTAAGTTTAATATTCTAATGAATATTATTAATATTAAATTTAAAATTAAATCTTTTAGTAATTACAACGTAAATTTAACTATCTGTTGTAGGCTATACTGAATCTTAGCAAAATTTTCTTATTACATGCACTGTAATTAATCTATTACAAAAATGAAGCAAAATTATTTTTTATTCTGCATAAATGACGCATTTTCTGTTGTGGATGTGCCATGCATCATGATGTATTAAAAAAATTCTTACACCATAGCTATTAAACTATTTAATCACATTCCTAGAAGTTATAGATCACTGCCGTGTAATGCTTTCAAGGGGAAGGTGATTAAATGTTTAAAGGCAAGATGCCTTTATAGTGGGGGAGAGTATTTAGACCATAAGTTTTGACAACAAGGGGCCGTCAAGTATTACGCAAGCAGATTTACTGCAATTTAACTCAAACTCAAAATATCTTTATTCATTTAGGTAAATAAGTACACTTATGAACGTCAAAAAAGAAGTTAAATCGATTGTAAATTTACATTTTACATTTACTACCAGGTCACAAGTCAAGGGCGTAGAGCGGGTAAGAAGAACTGGCAAGAAACTTTTCGCCACTCTTTTTAATCGCCAAGTTTTGAGTCATACAAATTGTAGGATCATTTAAGTATTCGTCAAATTTATATTAACCCCCCCTCCTCTTCTTATGAGGAAAAGTAAGCAAGGCTCCCAAAAATAATAGTACATAAACGTATTATTTTTTTGTAGGAATCCTCGAAAATGCATTTCGTTTTCAAGCATAGACTATGTGTGGGTAATATGTGTAAAAAAGTAAATAATTACTGTTGACGAAATCACCAAATAAGAAAATCAAAGACCTTACCCCTATACTAATTACGTTATATTTGAACGGCCCCCAATTATAAATAATAATTATTATTATCACTTTATTTGTAAATAAAATATTTATTGTTATCATTATTTAATGGTTATCGAAATAAGTCCCATATTTGTCGTAGATAGCTTTCCTTTCATCATCTATTTGATTATGTAATATTGTTTAGTATTTATATCAGTACTCAGAGTTGTCGATAAACTAATTCTACTCATACGAATAGGACAATAAAAGTCTCTTGTAGGATTTGATTAGAATAAATAGTCATTTAAACAAATGAAGCCTGCCGTCTAATGATGTTATCATATATCGTGTAATGAGTAAGGTTTGTACAAAATAACTGTACGCTTTGCACGTCTAGGTATGTCGACGTATTGAGACAGGGGGTGGAGGTCAGTGAACTCTCCTCACCCCGCATTTGCAGCCTGAATCAAAAATAACATTACGAAATTTGCTGAAGGTAAATTTTGCCTACAGTTCAAACCAAAAAATTCTTATTCAAGTAGGTAACCAAGTACACTTTTGAATCGTCAAGTTAAATTAATCTAAATTTACATTTACTACCAGTTCGCAAGTCAAGGGCTAGAGCGGGTAAGAAGAACTGCAAACTTTCCGCCACTCTTTTTAATCGCCAAGTATTGTCATACAAATTGTTTGAACTGGAGCAATTCAATCCAAGGATTAGGATCATTTAAGTAGTCCTCAAATTTATAAAAAGCTTTGTTGATTAATTTTCGTTTAACGAGGGCTTGAATTTATTTAGTGATAATTTCTAATTTCGCTTGGGAGCTTGTTTAAAAAGAATACAATTTCCATATAAGGAGTGGTTTATCTTTTGGAGCCTGGTTGGTCTAACTCAATTAGTTCTATTTCGCGTATTATACTGGTGAAAGTCACCATTTGTTTTAAAATCGTTTATATTTTTTTGACTAAACAAGGCTTCAAATTTTGACCAGATAGTGTCTTATTTAATTCCAAACTTATTCCGTACCACTCCCTCGGAGACACAACTACCCCAACACCCCTTCTCACACAAATTTTGAACCTCTCACAGCCCACAGTAAATGCCGTACGACATAACGCTATGAAAGTACTATGGTACACAATTTTAGCCGTGTCCTCATCAGTAAACTGTCGGATTTTCTTTATGCATATGCTGCAGAGCTCAGCCTATTCGAAAGAGTCTCTATTGTGGCCCCATGGAGTTTACTATCTATTGTTATGCCTAGAAAAACAGTTTTGTCAACAAAGTTTATTTCACTGTCCTTAATTTTCAGGTTACCAATATCTCGCTTTACGCTAGTAGTTGTAAATCTAATAATTTTGTTTTATTCTCATTAAGCAATAAGTTATTTACATTAAACAGTAATATACAGAGATAAATTGTTTAATCGTCCAATAATACGTTATTCCTATCACTTTAAATAGAAGTGAATGTCATCAGCAAATACATCTCAACTCGACAAAGATGGGAGGATTTTGTAAATCAAATAAGAAAGCCCAATCATCCTTGGGGACCCCATTATACCTGCGAACCCGGAGAGGTGACTCCATTATGAACTCTTGATCTTCCCTTAAATATGAATTCATCAGGCTGAAGCTTTGCCATCAACGCCATAGTGTTGAAGCTTTCCAACAGTTTCAGGATGAAACAGTCAAAGGCCTTGACAGGTCACAAAAGACGCCGACTCCATCATATGATTCTTCCCAGGCGTTAAATATGTCCAAATCAACTTCACACCGGCATCGATTGTGGAGCGACCCTTAATGAAACCATACTGTTTATTATGTAAGAGTTTATTTTTATTAAAATGTAAAGAAGAGTTGTGTCGTTATCGAGATGTAAATGGGAATTGGTGGATTAATCTAGGTGTGCGATCCACGACCAGTGTTGCCTGTTGGCCTAGTGGCTTTAGTGGCGTGCGACTCTCATCCCTGAGGTCGTAGGTTCGATCCCCGTGCATCAATGGACATTATATGTGCACATTTAACATTCGCTCGAACGGTGAAGGAAGAAATCGGCTTGTGTTACGACTCAAAAATTCGACGGCGTGTGTCAGGCACAGGAGGCTGATCACCTACTTGCCTATTAGATCGACAAATGATCATGAAACAGATACAGAAACCTGAGGCCTAGTCCTAAAAAGGTCGTAGTAGCAGTTGTAGTTGTAATTTATTTTAAAAATAAAATAAATCAGTGGCTCTACAACGGGGCAACGCACAACGGGGCAACGCTACAACGGGGCAACGCTACAACGGGGCAACGCTACAACGGGGCACGCGCCATTCAGTCAGTTAACTTTAAAAACTCATCGTCGATTTCTAAGGCTGATATTTATAAAGCGTACAATGTACATACTTTTTCTTAGTTAAGTGAGAGATGTGAAATATACGAATTTTGACTTTTCTCAAGGACTATATTATGGTGCACTGACTTGCCTTGACTTACCATCCTTACGGAATGTTGTTTTATTTTTCACAACTTTGTCTTAGGGTGAAGGTCTTAAAATGGCGTCTTCTGATACCACGAGTCCCTACTTGAGAGGCCAAGGTGTTGGCTCTACGCCAATTTCTGTATGTGATATGTCTAACAAAGGTCGATCTTCGCACATCAGTTTTTTGAGGAGACTTTTTAACAAAGTATCAAAACTCTTAATAGAGGTTTTTTTTAAGAAATTAATTAAACATTTTATGGTTTAGTATTCTAAGTTTGGACATACATGGCTATGAGCCGGCGGATTAAGTATGGTTATTAATTATAATATAAGAACAGTGTTGGCCTAGTGGCTTCAGCGTGCGACTCTCATCCCTAAGGTTGAGGTTCGATCCCCGGCTGTGCACCAATGGCTTTACTTTCTATGTGCGCATTTAACATTCGCTCGAACGGTGAAGGAAAACATCGTGAGGAAACCGACACGTCTTGGACCCAAAAAGTCGACGGCGTGTGTCAGGCACTGGAGGCTGATCACCTATAGAGGTTGTAGCGCCACTGATTTATTTTTTATTAATTATAATAAAACAACACAGTACTTCATTAATAATTTATTGGATTATTTAAAATGCATCGTTCGGCACTTCAAAGTACCACTTACATGTGTTCTTCTAAACGTACATTTAGATTGACACCTAATAATTACGTTAATAAATAATACTTTTACCCGTTTCAAACAAAATTCACGCATAGAACGGAAACAAATCACAGAAAACTTCACGAGAAGTGGAATTGAGAAATGACACGACATCGATTCGTTAAACGTCACTTCACTATACAATGATAAGCTGTGTGGAATCTATTTACTATACATATCTAGGACACTTAGAAAATCTACATACTTACAAACTTGCGCTAAGAATCTAGACTTTTAGAATTTTTCAGCGGTCGCGTTGCAAATGGCGCTGACTTCACTTTTTTCTTATTATCTATCGTATTCGTAAAAGAGTCTGTGAAAGTTGGACACTTGGAGCTGGGTGCGCTGTTGCCTGGTGAGACACCGCTGTCCGTACTCACTGAGGCTGAACTCGGGCTATCACTAGGGTTATTGCAAACGGTCAACTCTTGCCCAGGCAGCGATACGATCTGCCCCACTTGCTTCTGCCGAACCAAGTTTATACTTTGGCACATATTCTTTCCATCAGTCTCTATCGTCTCCTTCTTTTGGTATCTCGTTAAAGTTCCAGCGGACCCGGCTGAGTTCGCCCGATACATGGGCATAAATGGCGTTTGGGGATAGTATTGCATTTCAGGAGTTTGACCGTGAATCCAAGGCCCCATTGTGGAAACCACTGGAGGCATGTGCATGTACATTGGCATTTGAACCATATGGGTTCCGTCTGGAAGAGGAGCGAAGCTAGGGGCTACGGCCATTGGTCGCACTACTCCCACAGGTGTTGGAGCACTATGAGGACGCAATGTGGGATGTCCATGAGCGTACTGCGGCGTAAACTCCTCTCCTTCGTACACTCTTGGATGTGGAATTTGGGAATAATCTACATTTGGGAACACTGTGTGCGGTCCACGTTGTAAATAAGTGAACATCTGCTGTTGCGCTTGCTTCATGGCGACATATTGTTGCAAATGGAACGCTGTCTGTTGTCTTTGATGAGCCAAATCGGGTGATGGCGTAGTTGCGTTACCGTGAATGTAGTAAATATTGGATTGAGTATTCACCTGAGTAACTGGAGTTTGTGGTTGGGAATACTTATTGTCTACTGTATTGTTTTGAGGATCTTGATACTCCTCTGGCGGGGCTATGTACTTCGGCGTCGATGGTGGAGTAACTTGTTGTGACATTGGATAACTTATAATTTGGGCGATGTACGGTTGTTTTGCTGAGTGCGCTGGACTATGAGTTTGGAATGTAGGATTGTAAGTAACTTGGGATTCTTGACTTGTGTCTGATTGAGAATCCAAGTCCTTCTGGACCGCTCTTTGGTTTTCGTTAACTTCGTTTTTCTTTGGTTTTTGGTAAGGGGTGACTTTCGGGTTGGATTTCCAGTTGGCACCAGCGCTTTGTGGCCGTTTAACAGGTGACTTTGTTGGATCCTGCCAGTTGTCCCCATTTTGCCGTGTATCGTGGGGATGTTGTGATTGGGCGCTTTGTGTTCGGCGTGGAGGTGGTGACATGCCTTCGGGGACGTGTTGTTGCCGGTAACAGCGACGGGCGGTGCCAGGACTGTGCCTTTCTGGGGGTTGAGGTGGCATAGGTCGATGTATTCGTCTTCTGGCTGGAGTGGGTGGGCTTGCCTGTGACTGCGAAGACTGTGACGCGGAACGCCACTCGTCTATTAACCGCTTCCTCCTCTCATTCTCTATCCGCACTTCAGTCTCACTCGATGAATCGTAGTCTTTACCCTGTGAACAAAAGGGATGCAATGTCAAAGGCGTCCAAAGGCTAGTATTCACTTTGATAAGTGATTAGTGATTAGTAGAAAATAAGTGTGGACGGCGAGTGCAGGTGAGTAGTTGGCTGCGTAGTAAAGTGATTAGAAGCGTGTTCTATTTTTTTGCGAGTGAACTGCGAGTAGTGACGTCGCGTGCGCCCTCCCTTCCCCCTCACTCGCAGCGTGTCTGCCAAACCATATGACAACTGAATTTGCTGTACAGAGCCACTAAACAATAATTGGACACTACTTGCACTCGCACTAATCAAAGTGAATACAGGCCTTTATAATGTTTAAAAACTCATGACAAATCCCACTAAATAATACCTTTTCGATTTTCTCGTCCAGCATTTTGAAAAAGTCCTGCATGCTGGCCGACGCCTCACTGAAATCATCAAATTATATTTCACGTAACCACAGAATAAATAGCTACAAGGTAGAAGTTTAATTAATGCGGTCAACATAATTCGTTAAGATTTGGTTTCAAAGTTGGGGTTTGAAGTTTTAGTCCGGGTCATTAATTACTTTGACGAACATCAAGAGTTTGATTTATCGACAACCGCGAGCTCCAATTAAGGCTTAAAATGTATTATGAGCACTCTCTTTGTTTTTTACTCATAGTCAATACTTTAAAGGTACCATAAAGAAACCTCAATTAGTTAATTTACAAAAATCCAGCGGAATATTGCACCTGTGTCCTGTTGAACGACCTACTTATTAATAACTTTGTAAATCATTTTATAGACTCATAATATTAAGTATGTTATTTATTATATATTTGTCAACATAGAAAGCAGGGTTGGCCCAGTGGCTTCAGTATGCGACTCTCATTATTAAGGTAGGTTCGATCCCCGGCTGTGCAACAATGGACTATCTGTCTATGTGCGCATTTAACATTCGCTCGAACGGTGAAGGAAAACATCGTGAGGAAACCGTCTTGCCTTAGAACCAAAAAGTCGACGGCGTGTGTCAAGCATAGGAGGCTGATCACCTACTTACCTATTAGATGGAGAAATGATCGTGAAACAAAAAAAATCTGAGGCCCAGACGGAAAAAGATTTTATTTGTCAACATAATGTGGTCAGTGAGTCAATAAAAAGAAACGTGTTTATCCATCAAGTATTTAAGTTCCTGATGGGGCATAGGCTACACAGCACATAATTGCATTTGTTTCATTGTTTCAGTTCAATGCGACTCGGTAATAATTTCGTCAAGTATATAACCTATGGGATCTTGGTACGTTATGTACACTAAACCACCATTAAACAATAATCCTAAGCTTTTTTATAAAACAGGGGCAAACGGGCCAAAGGGCTCGTGAGTGCGTTGCCGGCCTTTTAAAAGTTGGTACGCTCTTTTCTTGAAGGATTAATACTATATTTATGCTAAGTATTAATAATTATGATTAGTTCATACTTTTCTATCATTATTTATATTTTTGTACCATTTTATTATTATTTAGCACACATCCAAATTATTGTATACATTAATTAATAAAATGTATTATAATTATAATATTATTTATTATATTATAATTGGTACGGAAATAAGGTTAAGTTCAAATACTTACACAGGAGGTGGGTGGCTGGTGAGAGACAGAATATGTTTTCCACTCTCTGTTTCTTCCTCCGCATCGTCTGGTGGCGCTGCCCCTGCGCTGCCTTCATCTTCATCTGTCTCTTTCTCTGCTGCGCCTGAAGAAAGGATCGGGATTTAATAGGCGTCCACAAATTGTCTGTTATTATTAATTATTAGCATATATAGTTAAAAGTGATACAGTATCAAGGACATGATTTTATAGTAACCTCAAACTTTGGAAAGTTCTATAGAATATATTAATTGGAATTACAGCTTCATTGTTCACCAATCCAAACATCACGTGTACACGGAGATAGAAAGATAAATGTTGACACATTTCAACGATTAATTGAACGCCAAAGGGAGATGTGTGTGAATTAAAGCAACGTTAGTTTTAAGCGAATTTTAGTTTTAACAGTATTTCTGTTACGAAAATTACTAGTTATGTTTTGAATTAAAAATCTGTTACTAAAACTAAATATTGGTCTTGAAATTTTGATACATTTCCTATTTCTAAAGACAACATAATAATAAAATATATGTAACAAAAAAAACAAAAAATTTGCAAAAGGAAAATTCAATAAAAATTATTAATTACGCTGTGTTGGCCAATTCGGCTACGTTGCGTGATGGTGTGAAAGTTGGGGTATGCACGTAAGGGTGTGTTTGTGGGGTGTGCTCATGATGCAGGTGATTTAGCGCTATCACTATTCTTAATTCTTACTTTGTAAATGAAAAAAATCACTGCACGGCACTTTTGTCCCCATCTAATAGGCAAGCAGGTGATCAGACTCCTGTCACCTGTGCCTGACACACGCCGTCGACTTTTTGGGTCTAAGGCAAGCCGGTTTCCTGACGATGTTTCCTTCACCGTACGAGCGAATGTTAAATTCGTACATAGAAAAGTCCATTGGTGCACAGCCGGGGCTCGAACCTACGACCTTAGGGATGAGAGTCGCAGGCCATCACTGCTCTCGGTATTTTAATAATTACCGTCTAAAACCGTGTTTAATCTAATTAAAAGGGCATTAATTAGGACAGCTGTCTGATAACGACGCATCTCGTTCGTATATTAAGTTCTTTAAACGTTAATTATTTTGACTTATCCACGGTAACCGTAAAATCTTTTTGACGTATACGTAAACGATTTCTGTCAGTAAAATCGATCAACGCTTCTGAGTAATTGGAAAACTTGGCTCAGCAGTCACAAAGGTAAACTTCCGTTTCCGTAATGAGGCACTTATACGTACACAAGTTTCAGTGTAAAGTTAGTTTGAAGGCGTTGTCTTTTTACGTTGAATGCAAGAACTGAGTTATGTAATTGGCTATTGTGAGAAAAAACTTGAATGGACACTCAGTAGGGTGTTTGAGCCTGAGCTTCCAAAGAGCATTTAAAGCAGCCTGAGTTGCATACCACGTGTTGCGCAATGACCGCTACCACCTTTAATCACTACATAGTAAAAAACAAAGTCGCTTTCTTCGTCCCTATATCCCTATCTATGCTTAAATCTTTAAAACTAAGCAACGGATTTTGATTCGATTATTTTTAATAGATAGACTGATTAAAGAGGAAGGTTTATATGCATAATAGCATCCATTAAATAGTGGAGAAATACTGTTATTTCTGAGGTTTCTGTCGTAAATAATTAAATTTTTCCGCTTACATTGAAAAAGCAGGCTGAACCCTACGAGATCGATCAAAATTATGTACTAAGTATTGTACACATTGAAAAGGTCTACAGAAAACATTATTAAATACATTGTTGATTTAATATAGATAAATGAATATTTTCGAAGATATTATCGATTGAATAATTGCGGGACGTAGCGTTTGCGGCGGTACCGCCTTGCATCGGAGGCCGCGGTTCTTACTATAGCACATTGAATTTAGTATCATTGTAGTAGCATTGCACCCGTGCGAAGCCGGGGCGTGTCGCTAGTTCATTATAATCGGTAAAATGCAGGATTAACGGCGTGTTGGCAGAAGGATACCGTGGCTTTGTATCAAGGGACTAAACGGGTATAACGGCGACTGGGTAAGAGTTGATTCTGGCAGGAGACAAGACACGTGTCACGAGTCTGACGACCTCCAGTTATAGAGAGGCACCTAAAGAAGAAGCATGCTCTGGTGATATAATAATGTAGACCGAAGTGCCCACGAAGGAGATGTGTTCGCAGAGTTCAATGTCTGTTTCATAATTCTCATACTACGAGTATGATGAGAAGGAAGTCCAAAACTAAAGGAAAATATCACAAGTTGATGAAACAATACATAATAATGCAATTCACAAAATGATTAAAAATATTAAACTAAGAAAAAAATTGTAAATGATGTTGCCATCCACATTAAATTCCTTACAGAAAACATGCAAATAATCTGTTAACTGGCAGCATTGCACAGATGCCAAATTACTTTTGTGTTTATTATTGCAAGATCAATGTCTTGTGAGTATGCACTCTCTTCACACCTTGCAATTTGCTTTGATTCATAATGTATTTTGGGTTCAGGCATTTTAAATATAGGCCGCACGAAAAATGCTTTAGTGGGGTGATTAATTTTAAAGAAAGCGTTGTTTAGTATCTCATATCTAAACCGCTGTTGTCCTTTAAATTTTTTATAACATTTATTTTTACCAAAGTTGTCATATATTTTAGAAAAGATAGCTAACATAATAAAAATTGAACATAATTAAATGAAAAGGAGGGGAACTGGCGGACTATTGTATGTAGTCTTTCAGCCAAAAATCATAATTAAAAACTTTCTGTAGTCACTAATAAATAAGCTAAAAAGGTTTTCAAAATCTTGTCGAATAGCCCATTCAAATTTTAAAGGCTTTTTATCGATTTAAAACGAACGCCAAGTTATAAAATATTCACAGTATTCTCGAAATTGTCCTGCTCGGTATTAAGGCTTGTATATTTTATGGGCTGTCGTAAACTCCTCGATGGTATCTTATCATGCCATTAAATATGCCATAACCTCTTAAAATTGAACATTAACATTTTTTTCCTAGAAAATAATGTCTAATAAAATTACTAAGCGTTCAACAAACGTAGAACTTCTGTAGAAAAAATAGATTTTGTAGGTTATTTTTTTGTTGATTTTGGATTGTTTGGTAATTTTATAATTTTTCAGTGTTACTTGTAATTGATTGTCTTATTTGGTGATTACGTCACGATAATTATTTACTTTTTTACACATATTAACCACACATCGTCTATGCTTGAAATCGGAATGCATTTTCGAGAATTCCTACAAAAAATTAATGTTACGTAATACGTTTATATTACCATTATTTTTGAGAGCTTTATTACTTTTGCTGACAAGAGGAGGGGTGTGGGGGGGATAAATTGCAGTAAATCTACTTACGTAATACTTGAACAGCCCCCATGTATTTTTATATTAATTTTGACTTTAAAAAAAATACTATACTTCGTTTAGTTTTAGTTATTTAGTTGTTTTATCATAGAAGTCAGAGTACTATTTATATAAAAAAATATCTATAGTCTTAAGTTTTAAAGTAACGTCTGAAAGGAACATGGGACACTTAAAATAAATCCTGTCAAATAAGACTTTTCCTAGTCCATGGAAGTAATGAACTTACGAATTGGAAACTTCCAAGAAGTTCCATTTAGTGACAACGTGTGCAACTTTGTTTCAAGAAGAAAAGTAAATTTGTGTTGTACCAGTTCGCTAGAAAGTCAATATATCTTCTGTAAATTATTTAAACATGCGTTTTTATAATATTCTTAACCTCGTAATAATAATTTAAAAAATTATATATAGAAAATTAAAACAAATTTTAAAAGTTGTTTCTCTGTGCTTTTAAAGCTTTTCCTCGCTGTATTGCGATTTGCGATACTTATTCGTTGAGCGAGGAAAGCACCGGCTCTGGGGTCACCGGTACTATATACCAGGAGCCCACTTAAATCCTTAATGAGCGCCTGTCCTAGAATCCAAGAGTCTTTACTCCAAACAAAATCAAAGTTGGAAGAAATACTCTTATATTTGAGCTGTTTATTATATAGATATCTAAAAGATTTTTGAGTGCGATTTACATTTCGAAATCTCACTGTTAGACAACTTTCCTATATTAGCATGGTATCGAACTCGAGCCCTAAGTTTTGCACTAATTATAAATTCCTTTTTAAACAAAATTCACATAAAATATATTAACAATACTTCTTATTAGTGTTACCTATAATTAAACGGAATATGAAAATTCTGTTTCCTAAATTTTTGGATGCCGATCCCATACGACCTGTTCACTGCAAATCGGACAATGGACGGAGGAGCTATGTTTAAGTCACTTAGAAACCAGAACGAAACTTAGACACTCACACTCAGTCAGTAAGTAAGTAGATAAAAAATTACAAATTTTTAATATTCTGTGATGAAACAGAAACCATACAAAAACCATACCAAAAATAGCATTTCCTTATTTCACAGAGCTGAACTTCTGCAAACAACAAAATATTCAAAGGTATCCTTTTGTTGAGTATTTTGATTTACAGGTACGGCATTTAATATAATATTTTATGAAGAAAATGTTGATTCAATTCAAATTTAATTTAATAATAAAACCGTTGTAAAAAAATACAGTTTTTTATACAGTGACTTTAACCTAAACTAAAAATAAAAAATATAAATCAGTGGCACCTTTTTAGGCCTGGGCCTCAGATTTCAGTATCTGTTTCATGGCTGTTTGTCAATCTAATACGCAATTCACCTAGTAGAGCCTACAGTGACTGACACGCGCCGTCGACTTTTTGGGTCTAAGGCAAGAAGGTTTTCTCACGATGTTTTTCTTCACCGTTCGAGCGAATGTTAAATGCGCTCGCGATCGCACCTACGACATCAAGAATGTGAGTCGCACATTGAAGCCACAAGGCCACTGCTCTTAGTAACTTAAACTAAAGAAACTTAATTAATATATTTTTATTTCTTTATTTTTTTCTTCTTAGTAGTTAAAATTAAGGAAACCATTCATGCCTTCCTGTGTATGTTCATCTTACATACTATATAATATGTCTATCTTGTTAGATTATATGAAAAACGTAACGACATTTTTATAACTGTTGTCATTATAACAACTTCTACAGGTTGATATAAATTAAAACGAAAATCGCATTTAGAATGACCCAATTAAATTCAGGTGTGGAGTAAAAAATTAGTTGACGACACACTGAAAAGCCAATTCAGTTTTCATAAATTGAAATATTTTTGGATGGTTGCAACCTTTCTGTTAAAATTGGAATACAGTCGCAGAAATATCACTGAACAATATGTTTTAGTTCGTGATTGCTAAGGAGTGTATTGTTTTTCTTTTTTTTCTTATTCTAAACTAGGCTGGCAATCTCTAATTTCTATAGATCGTAACTGATATTATTTAAATTTAGAATGCACTTTGATGATACAAAACAGCGGACGTATCCTTGACTGTGATTGGTTGGATACTCACAAAGCAATGGTTTCGCTTTGCAAAAATAAATTCGAAATCCCGCTCTTTACGATTGTCGACTAATAATTTGCCTGTCAAGTTGTCATTCTAATTTGCTCTGTGGCAATTCACACAGAGACAAACAAATTAATTTTAGTTCATCATTAAACAATAATTTAGGTCAAATTGTTCTAAATACGAGAAACATTTCTAGAAATCAACATAAAATGATACACCGGATATCAATGCTCGTTTATTATGTTTACTCTCTGTTATAATTATAATTTCTAGTTTTATGTGCGCTGTATTTTATAGTTTTGTAATGA